ACACACACACACACACACACACACACACACACACACACACACACACATAAAATATATAATACAATAACATAGAATTACATAATATATTCCAATGATTTTATACTTGTAAACAAATATTCCTACAAATATACACAATATTTATAAGACATGTTTTAAGCTTATAGTGTAAACTTATAACAAGTGATAATCATTTATTGTTTTTATTGCATTTCTATGACTTTCAACAGAAAGTGCACTCTTCGTTAAGTAAATGTAACATAATATGTTATGTATCATTTTACTGCAGAATATCAAGTTTAGTTCCAAGAAAGTTTTGTTATGGTTATGACTAAGCAATACAAGTTGTAGTATAGTCATTGTTTAGTGACCTTCAACCTTTAGCTCAAATGTTATGTATCGGACTACAAATCTGTGAAGGGGTTACTTTGCAAATAGAACGAAAATTATAATTATTCAGAATGTTATTTTGTCGACAATGTAATAATATTAATAATGTGCTAGAAAAGTTCATTTCCCAAATTGGTTTCACCTAGACACGAATCCTAGACCTCATCTAGCACCGACATCGTCAAAATTTTAATTAGCCATTTATAATATCAACATTTGTATATATTCCACTGCGTCTTAATAAAAATAAGTTTCGAAAAATCGAATGCAGTTTGAATTCAAAACGAGAAATAACTTCGTAGTTATGTTCCTCAAAATTTAATTAATTAGTTCCTACAAGAAACTAATTCGAAAATAGAATAAAGATAGAAACAAACGACAGTCACCAACTCCAAATTTAAATATCCTGCCACAAATCTTGGTTCCTTTATTATTCTTCATTAAAAGATCAAACGGTTTGTAGTCACAGAATGTCCTGCTTAGATCAAAGCGGGTTCCTTGAAGACGTATAAATTATGCATCGTAACGAATATCTGCATTGAAAATCTAAAAATAGCACAGGACTAAGGAGCGACAGCGACTTACCGGTCAAAAACAGCATCAATACGACTACACGTAAAACACACATTTTTGTTCAACACCGTTTGTATAACTGCACTTTAACAGTTTATATTTGATTTCCGAATATGCCACTACATTTTCTAATTTAAATTACGTTAGAAAGAAATGCGTTTCAATGTTTCTTTGGAAGATCTACTTTGTAAACAAAATACACAAGCACTCCTCAACACTGCGAGTTAAGGACTTAACCTGAATGAAGTTGGTTAGACTCGTTTGAGAAAGCAGGCTTTCATGTACAGCACACATAAAAATATTTAGTTTCACAGACGCACATTTATACGACAATTTATGAACCAGACAGTGACTAACTTCAGTACAAATTTGACAGTTCATTCACACCGAGTGCGTTCCAAAAACTTAAGATTAATTTTTCTTTTGAATGATTAATGGAGACTTCACGAATGGATTACAAATAAAAAATGTTATAACAATAAAAGTTAATACCAATCAAGTATAATATCATTAGTTAATACAATGTTTATAGCCCCCTATAACCAAATAACTGTGTTAACATACATTTAGACCTACAATAATAAGAAATTAAAATGCCATATCTAATTTTACTATGTTTCAGAACGCATTCTCTTACATTTTATTTTCTACTCGATACTAGATGGCTCTTTCGCAAAGTTATTAACCTATTCAATTATAGATGGCAGTACTTACAGCAACAAGCCATTTCTGTTTAGTTTTTAGGAATTTTCAGCTAACAGCACCTTCCCAAGATTTTCAATAAAAATCAGGAGCCAATCAATTTTTTTTCAAGTAGCTATATGGCTCTTAGCTAGAGGAGACTTGTATAACAATGAAACGAAAATAACATTTTTACACATTCTTTTTATTGCTATAATGATATTTGGCGAATGTTTGTGCCACCAGCAGTGGAAACACCAATGTAGCATCCGCGTATAATTTTACTGGTGTCGCATTTGTGCGTATTTTGCCCCATGACACTGCTTCATCAGGCCTAGCTCCAGAATCAGAACCATCAAATTCATTTGAAGTATTCACATACACAGCGAAATCTGCTCCATTACGCATTAAATTTGCATTACAAATATGGTGTTTAATGACACCACCTCCCAAAATGATCATACCCGTATTATTAGCCTTAACAGCCATTGTATTCAACCTCCGTAAATCTCCTAAAATATCAATAACCAATCCTGGATGTTTATATGAGTGAAAATACATCATGTCTCCTAAAGAACCATCAGTTAATGCTGGACTGAAAATAGGAATGTTATTCTTCCACGCCCAATAGCACACTGAGTTTTCATCATTGATTCGTTCACCTAGCCTAGCTATGATCCGAGATGGAGTCCAAACTGTACCATCTTTAATCTGTTCGTCTAACATTTCATTTAATAATGGCGTGACCCATTCTTCGAAACGACAGTAATTGTCATTTGGTACAAGTAAATTGCCAATTCTGTTGATTCCCCTAGTGCGTAGCACTTTGCCACTAAGGTTAAAATCTCCAATGTAAGTAGGAGCAAGACATTTTATGAAATCTTCTTCAACACCGCCAGCAGTTGTCACGATGCAGTCGACTAGTCGGTTTTTTACTAGGAAGCGGATTGTGTCTCTTAGTCCGGATGATATCATGTTCGATGTATACCCTGAAAGATAATAATAGAAATTGGTTTATTTGTTGTTTGGTTTATACCGCTTTAAAAGGGTATATGGCCAAATTTTAAATAACAAATGCCAACATTGTGCGAATTGGGGTGCACAAAAGGAGCCGCCCCTCACAACGGACCATTTCTTTATTGTATGTTAAATCTGGCACATGCCTTACAATAATTGACAAATGCTTTCACCATGATGGTAAGCATTACAATGTATGTCATCAATACGATTAGAAGAAGATTGTGTCAATTACAACTTGTGACTTTATACGGGTAGGGTCCTTGAAAGATGGCCACCTTACTGTCCTGCCACTGCTTGGCCTTGAAACTTCTGTATTTCTGTTTATCTACCAATGTAGCAGGGCCTGGCAAATCCTATAGTAAATGTTTGGTAGACAGACGCTACTGCTAATATTATTCCCAGTTGTAAATAGGACAATATTTCAAATTGTATTGTCTGTTGCTCAAAATGCTTGCCTTTTTTTTCTTTTGTTTTACTATTGCTTGGCAATAAATGTTTTTCTAATTTGCGTCATTATCTGGTATATTATTAGTACTGTATCTATGATAAAACAAACAACTTTTATTCCACAACTTTGAAAAAAATCGCGCTGTATTTTTTACAAAAAATGAAAATTACATTCATCAGTTTTATGCTTAAGTTTCTTACCTAAAAAGATAGTACAATTAGTTTTCTTCTTAATAAAGACGTCTTCCTCATATGGATCACTGGTTTCTTCAGTCAATGGAACCGATCGACATTTGAGCATCTTGTTGATCTCCGCCACCGCTTTCCCGAAGTTAGTGGCTTGAAAACCGGATCGCGCGTAACTTTCAAGTATTTTATTATAATCCGTGCCATTTTCCCAATCGTAACCAGAAACTATTGGTGTCTCAGCTGGCAATTCTTGGCTCGGAGCTAATACGGCGCTCACAGCTACATCGGGTGCCATTGGTTTACTCTTGTCCATTATAGATGAAATATCCATGATTTGTCTTTGCTTTACGTTGGTAATTTCACAATTCACAGCTCTATTTTGATGAAAAACGTTGTCCTTTGATAGATGTAAATTTTCTTGTGTGATTTTTCTATTTTTTTCCATCCTCTAAGGATTTTTCGTTCACTTCCTGACAACTGACAGCTTCGGTTCAGATTTCAGACAGCTGTCTGTAGGTCAATGAACGGTTTCATGGCGCGCTTTTTTATTTAGAATGTTGATAAATAGGTCCGGGATAGATAATTACGTGTAGGGAAAATTGTATCTCTTTTTCATTCATCATATCATATTAGCGCTGGCGGCAAATCATATTTATTCATAATTCAGATAAAATAGGAGCACATCAAGCTTGACACTTTGGACGTTGGACCGTCCTTAATGCAAGCGGCATAGAGTTTTAGAGAATTTTAGTGTCAAGCTTGTGCTCTTGACCCTGTACTTACAGCTTTTACACAAAAAGTAATTTTTTTAGTTTAAGCCGTAAATAAGGTCATTTAGACTGGTAGCTGTAAAGGTACTAACTGGGTGATAAATCTTTCATAGATTTCTCATAGATGGCGCTACGACTAAAAAGTCGTTGAAAAACCAAATACAAAGACACGACGCAAGCACGTAGAAAAATTCGTGAGGTCCGTTGGTTCGTTCCGTGGCTTACTTGGTATAGCGTCTGCCATGGTATGCAAGAAGACGTCGGTTCGAATCCGACCGGATCGAAGGAATTTTTTCTGAGTGTTCGATCTTTGTATTAATAATTATAACAAACTAGTGGAGTAATTTCACAAAAAAGAATTGAATATCAATTCAATAAAGATCATTTAGTTTAAGTATTGTTACGATATAATTAAGTTTCTTAATATTATTCGTTACCTGTTTAAGCTGATGGCTATAAAACCAATGCTCAATATATAAATAATTTAAAAAATATTATTTTTTACATGAATTAATACATAGGGGTCGTTTTCCAGAACTCTACTCAATGCTCAAGTCAGGACTTGAGTATAATTTCAAGCACTGAAAATCATACTCATGTCCTTGCCATTAGGGTCGTATTTCTAGTGCTTGAAATCATACTCAAGTCCTGACTTGAGCATTGAGTAGAGTTCTCGAATACGACACTTAGTATATAATTATATATATTGCGTTATCTTCTTAAGCTGATGACTCTATAGCCTGTGTCTATAAATAAATAATAAAATAATTATTTAAAAACATAGGAAATGAAACTATTTTTCCGGATTTAAATCGCGTGTATTTGTTTTTTCAAACAAACCGACGTTTCGGGCCCTTTACAGGTCCCATGGTCACGGTTGACTGAGGTGGTACAGTCTTCAACCAGTTATAACACGGTCGGTTTCTTTGAAAAAAAAACAAATATACGCGATTTAAAACCGGAAAAATAGTTTCAGTTCCTATGTGTAACAATCGCGAAAACCTAAGAACTCGATATTTAAAAACATTTCAAGTTAAATTGCTTTTTGTCTTTCTGACGCTTGAAAAAGCCCATTTTAATAATTTTGTTTGATCATTTATGGCAGAAGCACTCAGCAAAAAGACATAAAATAGTAAATTGTAAATATAAAAAATTTAATTTATTTACCAATAAATTTTATTATTAAGTAGGTAGCAGAATTTGAATGTTGAATAGTCGAGTTTATACACTCTGCTTTACTCATCTGACATCGAATATATAACCAGAAATAGAGACGAAATGTCATTTAATTTGTTTGAAAACTATTCTGCCATATCATTACTGTGACAACTGCGCTCCGATTGGCTAGCCCGAGTTCGAAACTATTGACGAGTGTCGTCAATTGTTTCACTTCAAATCGACCAGTTACCTTGAGCTTTGCTATAATGGACGAAAATTGCAAAATTACATATTTAATATTTAATTACCGATGAAATGTGATTCAGTTTATTTTGTACTTAGATGTTTTGCTGTTTTTCCCACACCACCAAATACAACAGCACGGCATTGTTAGAGATATTATCTTTATTACAATAAATACAGAATATTTTTGGGAATATACGGAGACGTACACACAGGTCTGTAGTTGGCCTGTCTACATTCCAGTGCAAACGGGAGTTGATATTTATAAGAGCTGTATCGCTAATGTGTTACCAGGAATATATGGCCCTTATTTCGTCTCTATTTCTGGTTATACTCTATGCCCATTGACCACTTGACTGTGTATAAATAAAATAGTACATGTTACATAAAAATAGTCCTAGGTAAATTTTCGCGCCATAGTTTTCTTTTTAAATTCATATTCGTATACATGACCTAATTGACAAAATCCTGAAATAAATATCTAATTTAAGCGTATAGGTGTATGAGTTGTATTTTATTGTTTAATTATTTTTTGTTTATAATTTAATCATATATCCACCCTTAGAATAATAACGCATAGAAACCTAGTCCGCACACGTTAAGTGAGGCAAACTGAAGCGCGCCCAAAGGGCCTACACGAGCGGGCGGGCCGTCAGTGCTCAAGGTCAACTTGCACCGCGAACAACTCAAGAATTTTGGCTAAAAATGACGAAATGTGTGGTAAATGAGTGTAAAAATACGTCAGACAAACATAATATAGATACTAACATCACATTCCACAAGGAAGTAACGCGTTTCAACTTGTATTTTTATATAAATATTCACTAAAACCGAAAATTAACCTACTACTAAAACTAGCCTACATGTGTTTGATATTTGCCTCACTTGTGACAGTTCGTTTGACATGAAACTATCATTCTATGCGTTATTATTCTAAATATCCACCTATATAATAAGTACTTTTTACCTGTAATATAGGATTCTTCTAGATTAGTCTTTAGTTATTCCTTTGTTTATCAAGTTATTCAATAAACAATTTTTTTTTAATTAATGGCAAAGAAATTAAGTATTTGAAGCCGTTCCAAAATTTATAAACACTATCCCCGCTATGCGTATAGACGACGAAGTGAAAAAATATTCAAATAAAAGTTGTTTGGCAACAAAAAAATAATTGTGAATTTTAGTGAAAAAATTGGTTATATGATACAGAAAAGCATGACTTTCTATCGGTGGTGTATTGCATAACACGCGATAATCCGACTGGAATCGAACAGTCACTTGCTCTCTATCTGTCTAATTAATGTTGTAGATGTAGAGCTACGAAAACTACTAGACAAAGCAGATTTAATTTTATTTAATACGTAATTCGCAACTTTGGCGTAATAAGAGAGGTTTAATGAATTAGACGACAACTTTTTTATCCTTGTATAGGAAGTTATATATATATATATATATATATATATATAATCCTTGGATTCAATAGACAAGCGTGCTAAGAGGTTATAGGTGACTCGGAATTAGTAGAGGCAAAGCTGCAGAGCCTTGAACACCGCCGTAGAGTTGCAAGCTTATCGGTATTCTACAGGATATATCACGGAGAGTGTGCGATGGAATTGCTTAATTTGATTCCGCCCGAAGCGTTTCGCTTTGACATTTATATGGCGAGCGTCTAGGCAGTGGAATTCCCTGCCTGCACATTTGTTTCCCGAACGCTATAACTTGGATCTTTTCAAGGCGAGAGTGAATAGGCATTATTTAGGTGTGCATGCTACATCCTCGACCTCATCGTCACTTTCTATCGGGTGAAATGGAGGTCAAATGCTCACTTACTTTTTATAAAATAAATGTGTCAAATTTTCAGCAGAACGATAGCCTAATTGAATCCATTACCTGCACCTGTGCGTGCTTGTCCTGTTTACTTGTTTTTTATTCGTTTGAAGAAGTATACTCTTATATATTTCAATGCTCCGAGACACGGAGAGAAATGCGCCGCGATTGAAATAATAATAATAATAATAATAATAGGCCTTGGGAGAGGCGAGAGTTTAAAATAAATACGATAATAATAATAATAATAATAATAATAATAATAATAATAATAATAATAATAATAATAATAACGCACACACTCAACATAGCCCCGCACTAGGGAAACCCTGTGTCGCGGGTGCCATGGACACACATAGACAACCACAAATTACACCCAAACTCACGAGAGAAATAAATGTAGGCCATACAAATATTTCTCCCGGCCCGGGAATCGAACCTGGGACCTCTGCGTGGCAGTCCGGCATGGTAACCGTTCGGCCACAGAGGCAGTTAAATATATTATGTACATTGCAATTTATACCTTATTTGAATTGGAATAGCGTAAATAAAAATAAAGATTGATACATTTAGTGTCCTGTGCCTTCTCGTTCGCCGGTTTGCGCTGGCCCTTGGTCCCATTCAAATTTAGCTCATGTCTTAGTATAGTTGGAAGATACATCTGCAAGCCTGGTTATCTGGGAATTACAGGTGAACGTCCTCGCCAACAAACTTTTAGTTTGATTCGTTGAAGCCTCCAGTGACTAGTAGGTTAGCAGCAACTAGTATCAAAGGATACTAGGAGGAAATTTTGACATTTAGGTCTAGAGCGATGTGTGTGTATACTTGAAAAACAGTTGTAAAAAATTGGGCAGACAGAACGCACCATAGCGGAGAGAATTAGAGAACACATCGTGGCTATTAAGAACCACCGTCAGCTTAAGTCTGCAATAGCCGAGGGCCAAACCACTGGATTGAGCTTCATAATCCCAAGATCCTTTCTACAGAACGTCATTATAGTAGAATCGTACGTGAAGTTATTGAAATTAAAAAAAAATACCGTAATTTCAACCGAGAAGACGGTTTTAAGCTTTCATCGTCATGGGATTCAGTTATTAGCAAATGTAGACGACATCAAGTATCGCCTGACAGGTCGCCGGATGTCGTGAGTATTATGTGTCGGTCTAGTGAGAACCCTAGTGCACAAATAAATAATGAAGGTCAAGTGCGGGTAGCCAGAAAAACTCGCACAGCTAAAAGATGCTGACACTCGCCTCTTCAGTCCCTTCGAGACCATGGACGTTGCAATAAGTCCGAAACGTCGAGGTAATTAAAATATGTCTTATACGTGATT